GGATTTCGTTGATCTGAGTAACATGAAAATGAATTTAATAAAAGGCGCCCCATTCAAGCCTTTCGAGCAATTGATGGGTGTCTTGCCAGCAGCATCCCAATCATGCAATTCCAGAAGTATTCACGACTTAATGTCAGACCCCGAGAGTGAGATCATTGATTTTTACCCTGAAGACTTTCCGATAGATCTTAATGGCAAGAAATTTGCTTGGCAAGGTGTTGCTCTCTTACCCTTCATTGACGAGAAACGTCTACTCCTTGCGATGGAGAAACGGTACCCTCTCTTATCCAACGAAGAACTTGCGCGAAACACAACAGGACGGGAAGTTCTCTTCCTATCCGATCGGCACCCTTTATACGAAAACCTAACTGCTAATTTCTATTCCAAGAAGCAACTGGCACCAACCCTGAAGTTGAACATGCGAGTGAGCGAAGGGCTAGGAGGCAAAGTGGGACGCAACGATGCGTACGTTCCACATAGTTCGCTGGTACCACCCTTTGACAATTGGGACCTACCCACTCTAGACGAAGATCATTCCATAAGGTCAGTTTTCCATTGTGCATATTTTATATCATATTTTGCCCAACTGCTCTTTGATCATGCTAACCCGAAGTAGTGTTATCTACGATATGCCCAAGTCAATGTACACTCACAAGTCAATGCTTCTAAGGGGTGTAAAACATAACCCTCCAGTTCTCGATAAGACTGATATTGAAATCACCAGAAACAAGGCACAGCGTTCTGGGCGCTCCTTTGGAGGAGTTCCCTTCGGCAATGGCAGAGGCAGAGGTGGTCGAATGTCATATGCCAGTGACCGGCCCAGTAATGATCGACCCAATCCATTCGCCGCCCATATTAACCCAGCCTTCGTGCCGCCAGCAATACCTCCATCACAGGTGAGTGGACAGCCAGCAGGATGGATACCTCCTCCCCCTGGGATAACTGGCAGCTCCTCTGGTGCTGCCCGGTTTGATAAACCCTACCAAGATCCTCCCTATCAACAACAGGGCGGTCGCGGTTATTCTCATCAATCCGGCCAGCGTGGTCACTACTCCCAGTCGTATAATCAACCGAGGGAGTACGGTCAAGGTAGGCAATATGGCCAATCGCAACAATATGAGCAAAGGGGGAGAGGAGGATATGAACAATACTCTGGAGGCCGCAGTAACTCTGGAGGCGGAGGGGGTGGTCGAGGCCGAGGTGGCGGATCTTACAGGGGTGGAGGCCGTGGTGGACCTTATCACCATGGACAGAATGGATATAATGGTCACCGCAATGACGGGTATGGACGATATTGATTGGGGGTTTTTTTGATAAATTTTGTTGTACGAATACATTTACAGAAAGTAATAAGTTATGCAATTTCAGAGATTCAAGCATAATTGTCAATTAGGAAGTAATAGCAATGGGATATAAAAGGAATTGAAGTGCAACAAAAAGTCATACATGAAATTCTTGGTAGACAAACACAGCTGTTTTGGGAGGCAAAATATTGCATTGGGGGTTATCGGTACCTAGATAGTAGCGCATCCTTTTCAATGCTGTTCAAGCCTAATCCCTAACACCTAGCATCAAAATATGCTCTTTTATCCACCTCTCTTTTCTTCTTCTTCTTCTTCTTCTTCTTCTTCTTCTTCGTCTTCTTCTTCTCTTGGCAGTCCTGATGGCCGCTAATACCACGTGTTTACCCTGAGTGCTAGTATTTACTCAAGGTAAGAACAAATCTAGAGAAATGAAATTTATCCTAAGATTGAAGGGAGATGGCGAGGTCAGGTAACCTATCGTTTGTCGTTTCTTCTACTTCTCCATCAGGGACAAGGGGAGCTGTATCCGGCGTAGATATAAATCGTAGATATCCCAAAACCGGCGTCGCAAAAATGGGTCAACTAACCGCATTTAGACGTCGATACAAGCTTCCAAAGTTCAAGCGAAAACCATCGTATGAACAGAATAAACCACTGCAGTGATAGCGGCTTGCCCTAAAAACACAACGAAGAGAAATAAATATGGAAAAGTAAACTCGAAACTGTTTGCTGGTCCAGCTCTTGGGCATTATCGTAACTGGCTTCGTGTTCTTCGTAATATCACGTGATGATGAGCTGAACTGTATGGTTTGCAGTAAGCATTCTGTACAGTGGGGGGTATTAAGTTTGAAACCCCCCCTCCGCCTGCCGCCGAGATTACACTAACCATATAACATTAATATCTATATGCTGCTTTTTGCAAAGATCTTTATATTAATATTTTGTATACCATCCTTCTGCCTCTATAACTGCCTTCACTCGATGAGGCATTGTAGCAGAAAGATTATATAGAATGCTATCATCAATTGCATTCCATGCCTCCTTAGCTGCCTCTATTAAAACTCTTTTTGTAGCTACTGTATCTGATGCATGCTCCAGCTCTGGATGCAGCTTATAGATCTCCTGCTTCAACAGTGCCCAAAGATTCTCTATAGGATTCAAATCTGGAGAATATGGAGGCCAAGGCATGATCTCTATATTCATCTCCTCAAGAACCTCCCTAACTATGTGAGCTGTATGAACCCTGGCTCCATCATGCATGAATATATCCCCCTCTCTCACAAATTCAGGTAAAAAGGCCCTATACATCCTTTATCACTCTTGAAGAAAGGGGTAAATAGTATGATAAAAGCAGCATTCCAACATAACTGGGTTTGGGTTAGTGATATCTTGGCATCACAGGTGTGGCAAGGGGGGGGGTTTCAAACTTAATACCTGACACTTGTAATCTGTAGTTAGTTGCCGCTGATGTATGGGCAACTGCTTTGCGCCCAGCTTGAACTGCCCCGCTAAAAACGTTCAGACCCGGTGTCACTCGAGGCTCAATTGGTTCAAACATTCGCTGAAAAATGTATTCGAATATATAACATTGTCACTTTCATGCTTTTCCTGCCTTCGTACGAACGTGATCGTGACGAGGAAGGTAGCAACGACCCCTGTCCTCTTATACACGTTGAATCGGGCCTCTTCTCCCCAAATTTAAGGGAAACATGGGAGTTCCAACCAAGATCAGCATTCTAGGTCGCGAAAGCATTGTCGCTGACTTCGGCATCTGGAGAAATTATGTGGCGAAGGATCTATTAAGCAGCTGCTCCTCCTCAACCTACGTCCTTATTTCCGACACCAACCTGACGCCCCTCTATTTGGAGGGCTTCCAAAAGTCCTTCGAAGATGCCGCAACGAATGTCTCTCCCAAACCGCGTCTCCTCACGTACGAAATACCTCCCGGAGAGTCTTCGAAGTCTCGTGAGACAAAAGCGGACATTGAAGATTGGATGCTTGCCCGCCAACCGCCATGCGGTCGAGATACGGTGATCATTGCCTTGGGGGGCGGCGTGATTGGAGATTTAATCGGATTTGTTGCAGCTACATATATGCGTGGAGTCCGCTTTGTGCAGGTTCCTACAACCCTCTTAGCAATGGTTGACTCTTCTATTGGCGGCAAGACAGCCATTGATACGCCCAATGGCAAAAATTTGATCGGAGCCATTTGGCAACCGCAAAGGATCTATCTGGATATGGAGTTTTTGAATACCTTACCTGAGAGAGAGTTTATAAATGGCATGGCCGAAGTGATAAAGGTCTGTATGCTGTTATACGATCTTCTACTATCTATATTTTTCACAGTCTCTCTTTTTGCTCTCACCTGCTAACTAGCCCGATTTTTTTGCCCTGTGTATATAGACTGCAGCAATTTCAAGCGAAGAAAAGTTCGCAGCACTAGAACGTGATGCTGAGACTATATTGGCAGCCGTCAAGTCCAAAAACACACCAGAACGACCGCGATTCAGTGGTATCGAGGAGACGCTGAAAAGAACAATCTTATCCTCTGCAGAGTTCAAGGCGCAGGTTGTGTCAGCGGATGAAAGAGAGGGCGGACTGCGCAACCTCCTAAACTTCGGGCATTCTATCGGTCACGCAATAGAAGCTATTCTAGCCCCACAGGTCCTTCATGGAGAATGTATTTCTATAGGAATGGTCAAGGAAGCCGAACTAGCTCGCCATCTTGGAATTTTAAATAACGTTTCCGTATCCCGCATATCGAAATGCCTTGCCAATTATGGGTTGCCAACTTCTCTCAAAGATCAGCGAATAAAGAAACTGACCGCTGGCAAACATTGTAGCGTGGAGCAACTGATCGCGTATATGGGCGTCGATAAAAAGAACGATGGGCCTAAAAAAAAAGTCGTGCTTCTCTCTGCCATTGGGCGCACACATGAGCCACGTGCTAGTACAGTGTCGAACGAAGAGATCCAAATCGTACTTGCGCCAAGCATCGAAGTTTCCCCAGGTGTTCCGAAAGGCCTTGATGTCACCTGTACACCCCCAGGATCGAAAAGTATCTCGAATCGGGCCCTCGTCCTTGCCGCATTAGGGTCAGGTACATGTCGCCTCAAGAATCTCCTCCACTCAGATGATACTGAGGTTATGCTTAATGCCCTTGAACGGCTAGGTGCTGCTACATTCTCCTGGGAAGATGAGGGCGAGGTGCTTGTAGTAAGTGGCAAAGGCGGCAGGATGGAGGCTAGCTCCAGTGAATTGTACGTAGGAAATGCCGGGACTGCGTCACGGTTCTTAACGACTGTCGCTACGCTTGCCCGAAAAAGCAGCGTCGACTCGAGCGTGCTCACTGGAAACGCCCGGATGAAGCAAAGGCCCATTGGCGATCTTGTTGATGCCCTCGCAGCCAACGGCGCTAGCATCGAGTATCTCGAAAACCTAGGTTGCCTTCCACTCAAAATTGCCGCTTCGGGAGGATTTGCCGGCGGGGAGATAAACCTTGCTGCGAAAGTGTCCTCCCAATATGTGTCGTCATTGTTGATGTGCGCTCCGTACGCTAAAACGCCTGTAACCCTGAGACTTGTGGGCGGGAAGCCTATCTCACAGCCTTATATCGACATGACCACTGCCATGATGCGATCGTTCGGCGTCGAAGTCAAAAAATCCGAGACGGAAGAGCATACTTACCATATTCCCCTTGGCTTCTATACCAACCCTGTAGAATATATTGTTGAAAGCGATGCCAGCTCTGCCACATACCCCCTGGCGGCTGCTGCCATCACTGGCACTTCCTGCACCGTCCCGAATATTGGATCCAAGTCTCTTCAAGGAGATGCCCGATTCGCCGTCGATGTCCTGCGGCCAATGGGCTGCGCTGTGGATCAGAACGATTTCTCCACTAGAGTTACCGGTCCTCCAGGAGGAATACTGAGCCCGCTACCCAATATAAACATGGAGCCCATGACAGATGCATTTCTGACTGCGTCGGTTCTTGCTGCTGTTGCAAGAGGCAAGGGGTCGAATCGCACGACGCGGATATTCGGTATCGCAAATCAGAGGGTCAAAGAATGTAACAGAATCAAGGCTATGAAAGATGAACTTGCCAAATTTGGGGTTGTTTGTCGAGAACATGACGATGGCCTCGAAATCGACGGCATAGACCGCGCGACCCTGCACCATCCGTCAGATGGCGTTTATTGTTATGACGACCACCGCGTTGCGATGAGTTTCAGCGTTCTCTCCTTGGTGGCTCACGAGCCAACTCTGATTCTCGAAAAGGAATGTGTTGGAAAGACGTGGCCCGGTTGGTGGGACTGCTTATCTCAGACTTTCAAGGTGAAATTGGATGGCAAGGAAGTAGGCAAAAGAACAGAAACGAACCCTATTGTCCACGTAAACAAATCTGCAGCATCGATTTTCATCATCGGCATGCGAGGTGCAGGGAAGACGACAAGCGGTTTTTGGGTTTCCAAGGCACTCCAGCGTCCATTCATTGACTTGGATGATGAGCTCGAAAGAACTGAAGGTATGACGATTCCCGAAATTATCAAACAACGGGGTTGGAGAGGATTCAGGGAAGCTGAACTCTCACTACTACGGAGGGTAATGACTGAGAAGCCAAGGGGGTACATTTTTGCCTGTGGTGGAGGTGTTGTTGAGACTCCCTGAGGCTCGCAAGCTCTTGACCCAATATCACAAAACTACAGGCAACATCATACTTGTCATGCGAGACATTAAAGAAATAATGGATTTCTTGAAAATTGACAAGACGCGTCCAGCGTATGTTGAGGACATGATGAGTGTGTGGTTGCGCCGAAAACCATGGTATGAGGAATGTAGCAATGTTCAATACTACAGTCGATTAACTGGATTGGACGGGATGACACAGGTTTCAGGTGGCTTCAATCGTTTCTTAAAAGTCATCACCGGCGAAGTGGACAGCCTTGCAAAGATGAGAAGGAAACAAAATACTTTCTTTGTCTCTCTCACACTTCCCGATCTCGGTCTGGCTGCCCATATCTTGAAAGAAGTCACGCTGGGGTCAGACGCTGTAGAGCTGCGAGTTGATTTGCTTAAAGATCCCCAGTCTGATAATGAGATCCCGTCTGTTGACTACGTCGCTGAACAAATATCCGTGCTACGCAGTCGTACTTCGGTGCCTCTTGTATTCACTATCCGTACAAAGGGTCAAGGTGGTCGCTTCCCCGACGATGCATACGATGCCGCCTTACAACTCTACCGTCTTGCCGTCCGAATGGGATCTGAATTTGTGGATCTAGAAATATCGTTCCCGGAGCAGCTCCTACGTACGGTGACTGAAATGAAAGGCTTTTCGACAATCATCGCATCCCACCATGATCCCAAGGGGCAATTGTCATGGGTGAATGGTTCATGGATTCAATTCTACAACAAGGCTCTTCAGTATGGAGATGTGATCAAGCTTGTGGGTGTTGCAAGGTCAATTGACGACAACATTTCACTGAAGAAATTCAAAACCTGGGCAGAGGAGAAACACAACATCCCCATTATCGCCATCAATATGGGCGACAAGGGCCAGCTAAGCCGGATGTTAAATGGCTTCATGACACCAGTATCCCATCCTAGCCTACCATTCAAGGCAGCGCCTGGTCAACTTTCCGCCAGAGAAATCCGAAAGGGTCTCTCTCTCATAGGCGAAATCAAAGCAAAGAAATTCGCTGTCATTGGGAACCCAGTCTCTGCCTCTCGATCTCCGGCAATGCACAACACTCTCTTCAGACAAATGGGCCTCCCACACACCTACGGGACCCTAGAAACAGATAATCCTGAAGTTGCCAAAGAATTCATCCGCTCCCCAGGCTTTGGCGGTGCCTCCGTCACCATTCCCCTAAAATTAAGCATCATGCCCCTCCTCGACGAAATTGCGCCAGAAGCAATGTCGATCGGGGCTGTAAACACCATTGTCTGCGCCCCGCCAGCACCAGACAGCAAATCCCAAACCCCACGCCTTATCGGCCACAACACAGATTGGCAAGGCATGGTCCGCTGCCTGAGCGACGCAGGTGCCTATGCCGCAGCCACGCCCACCACCGCCTCTGCCGGTCTGGTTATCGGAGGCGGTGGAACGGCCCGCGCAGCGATCTTCGCCCTTCAGAACATGGGCTACTCCCCCATATACGTGTTAGGCCGCTCGCCAGACAAGCTTTCCAGCATGACCTCCACCTTTCACACCGACCACGACATTCGCATTTTAGAAGACGTGAAAGCTCTAGAATCTTTGCCGACAGTAGCTATTGGGACGATACCTGGCGATAAGCCAATCGAGCCCCACATGCGAGAAATTCTCTGCAAGCTCTTCGACCTATGCGAAAAAGCAAATTCAGACACTGAGCAGGCGCGCGGCGTCAGCACGAAACGTATCTTACTGGAGATGGCATATAAACCTTCTGTCACGTCGCTGATGCAATTGGCTAGTGATTCCGGGTGGACGGTGTTGCCGGGGCTGGAGGCTTTGGTGGCGCAGGGGGTTTATCAGGTATGCAGTCAGCTTCCTTCCTTCCTTCATTCACTGTCCAATTTTTTGTTTCTTACTTTCTTTGCATTTGCCGAAAAGACTAACAATGCTTGTTCGTTCGGGAAATAGTGTGAGTACTGGACAAACATTACGCCTGTCTATGAATATGCTAGGGTATGTCCTGGGTCTTTCCTCCTTCCTACCTTCCATCTCATTGGAGTACATTCACCAGAAAACTAACGTCCCCTGTTCCTTCCATTAGAATGCCGTAATGGGCGTATCGCCAAGCGAAGATATCTCGACGTAAGAGACGATCTGTTCTGCATCTCGCCATACTCCCAGAAACAGTACTATATGTCAAACACATTTAGTGTTGGAAGGTTTACGACGTGAAACTTATAAATTGCGAGCGGGGGAACGGTAAAAGGTTATTTTTTTGTTTTTTTTAACAAAGAACAAAAAATGCATATAATTGAATTTCGGTTTTTTTGGGGGCATATGACGAATAGAAAGTTTTAACACTCAGAGTTATTATGGGCAAAAAAAAAGGGGGGGGGGGAGAATGAAAAGGATCAATTTCTTGTTTATCTAGTATAATAATATTCTTATGTTGGAACATAGCAATTTCGCTCTTGGTCTTAGAAGCATTTACGCATGCTTTCTATGAACATCCCGTTCTCAACCACAGCTCATAATTTTTTCTATGTAATCTCGCCTCTGTGGGGTATATGTGCGCTGGTACTGAAGAGGAAAGTGGAACAACAACCAAAAACCCAGAAACGCCTTTTTCGCATGTTGAAAGCTGACAATCTCAGAGATCGTGATCATTGACATGGAATATACCCAGGTACCTTGATGCAAAAATAAACGGTGGGAAGAAGTAGAAAAGGGGTAGAGAGACGAAAGGAGGGGGAAGAAAGGTAAGAGAGCATATACCGATAATACGACGCCAGGAGGCGTTCGTAAAAGTAGAGCCATTCCCCACCCCACTCCAAAACAGGAATCCTGAGAAAGAAAACAAATATAATGCAGCTCAAACAATGCGTGCATATAGTAGTGCCTGTGCAATGGACGCCCAATGCAAAGCAAAGCAAGGGAGCTCTATCCCCTTACACAACACTCTGCCCAGACACATCCTCTCCCCCCTCACTGTCCGCATTCCCATTCCCATCTACAGGTCCCATCGGCCCTTCTCCATTCGCCTCCTCGCCTTCCCTCTTCCTCCTCTTATTAACGGCCATCTTCCCCTCCATCTCCCGTCGCCATGTACACTCCTCCTGGAACTCACATATCCGACACTTCCACGCCTCCATAATTGGCACACCACGCGGTTGCCTGTGTCCGCGCCACCAATGCATTTCATCTGTTAGGTAGCTGTAGAGGGAGGACGGATTGAAAAGGAAGGAGCGGCTGCCGATGTATTGCATGGACTCATCAGGGCTAGATGGTGGGGCTATGTAGGTGGCTGTTAGGACAGGAGAGAGGAGGGTTGGAAAGGGTGGAGTGTCTTCTTGGGCGTCGTCCTGGGGTTGGGAGTGGGTGGTGGTACTAGGATTCGTGTTTGGGGGAAGGAACGTGAGGCGGTGTTGAGACTTCATGAGCTTCCAGAGACGAGAAAGGGAGTTGTGTTCGAGGAGGATGGTCATTGAATCCTGGCTGCTGGAAGGGAATTCTCCTTCACTTTCCGCGCCCGATGAAGAGGGGAAGTAGTCCGCATCTAGGTCTTCTGACGCGTCGAAAAATTGCTCGTTGAGGCTGCCTACTTGAGCGATGAAACTGTCAGAAAATGGCTTGTCAACTTCGAGCTTATATCGCGTTGCGATAGCGTCAATGGTGACGTCGTTCGGTGGTGACGAGGCGGGTGGAGGAAGTGATAGTATAGTTGCAGCTGAAGATGCGTAGGGCGGAAGCCAACACTATTACAGATGGGATAGAGCGACTGCTGCTCCCGCGAGTCTTGATATCTGTGATATATATCTTCTTTAACGGTGTCTCGGGGGACCCCGCCGCCGAATATGCCATATCCCCGTTCATGCTTGGCCACCCCAATATCAGAAAGCCTCCGTCCGCCACCAGCCGGAGAAAGGAAGAAGTCCGTAATCGAGGTCTGATATTCCGGAAGCAATGCTTTAGACGTTCTCAGATCCGCGTAACTCGCTTCTGCAGATTCCTCCAGCTCCTCATCCGGACAATCATAGGACAGCTGGTCAATTATTCCCGTTACGATTTCTCCATCAACGTTCCCCCAAACCTCCAATTCTCTAGTCATCCCCGAAACCCGCAGTGTACGCAGCCCCTGTATAACATTCCATATTCGTAGAGCCCACCCATCTTCTTTCGTCATAACTTCAACAGGGACGGTGGTATGCACCTGGTCTTCCAACTCTTTATGCACCACGGTCCCCTGCTTCATTGCTGGTGTAGCCCTCTTCCGCCCGAGTTTTGTCAAGGTATACCAATACTGTAACTCACACCAAGCAGGAGACACCAGATCCGTGACCGACAAAGCTTTCCTAGGTGGTGTCCGGAAACGTTCAAGCGGAGACCGCATATCTGGAATAGGCAGTCCATTTGCATTTCCATCCTGGGCGCCCTGATCCACAGCTATATGCCCTCGCTCTCGCTCAACTTCACGCTGTCTCTCTCGCTCCCGTCCCTCAGCCGAATTCGGATGCTCAGCTAAACGCTTGAGTGTCAGAAGGGTCAGTCAACCTTCCAAGAATCACAAGGGTTTATTAATAATAATAATAATAATAATAAAAAAAAAAAAAAAAAAAAAAAAAAAAAAGACTCAAGAGAAAACGCACCACCCCAACTGCCAGACCCCGCTTCCAACCATTCCCAACCCTTACCGTTCCCCCTCCCTCTCCCACCACCAAAATAACGCCCTTCCGGCCCCGCCCTCTGCTGGATAGGACCCCATTTCTCCCTGCCCAGAACCCGAGGCACCCTATCCCTCGATATACCAACATAATCCTCAATATCTGTCAGAGGCAGCAGTGGAAGTGACTGTGACTGTAATTGCAGTTGCGCAATCGTCTCAGGATAACCAATACCAATTGCACCTGACTCGGCCCCTTCTTCCGCTCCAGCGGGATCAGAAGACACCGCAAGAGGCGTGAGTGCAGGCGTCGCAAATACAGAAGGAGAACCGGATCCAGGAACAACCGTCGTCGCCTGCTCGTGGTCCTCGCCGATCCGCGCCAGCAGCAGATTCAACAGCTCCTCCTCGTCGGGGGAGAAGTCGGACCCGTAGTCGCTGCTGGCAGCGCTGTCCAATGTGTCCTCCCCCGTCGTTGTATTCTCTCGTGTTGCTGCTAGGGGGCTCGGGACTGTCGGGGGTTGTGGTGATGGGAGGGGGCCGGCAGCGGGCTTCTCGAGGAAGGCTGACTGGCTCATTTGAGAGAGATGTAGTGAGAGCTGGTCATGGTGTTATTTGAGGGGAGGACAGTTGAGTTTTCTTTATTGGGACACTCGGTTCATGGCGAAGAGATACATTATGTTGAGCCGTTTCCTCTCTTCTAGCCCGGCTGTTGATGCCGCCAAAAATGCTTGAGCGCTTAGTCACGCTAACGAATTGCCGACTGATTGCCGCCAACACGGTGTCGCGTGCGCGTCATCCTCAAAACATCCACAGATGTTCCTCTATCTCCTCCACTATATGTATTAAATCTATATACAATTCTAGCCATTCCCAACAATGCTAGTGAGAAATCTAACTAGGAAAAAAATATGACTTATCGCATCCAAACACCAAACCCTTCTATAATACCATGCAAAACGGGGAAAAAAAAAAAAAGAGAGAGAGAGACAAAACATAGTCACCAGAATGAAAACTTCCGCAGAGACCTGATAGTCTGGAAAGTTAACAAGAAAGGCGGTTTTCAAAAATTCAAGAAGTCGCAGCAACCGATGCCATAACCCCTACTCCTCCTCCATCCTGTCTCACTCCTTCCACCTCCACAGCCTGAGCTTGCGCTTGCGCCGCTTCTGCTGCCTCAACTTCCTTTGCCGCCTTCTGATTTAGCCAGCTAAGATACGTCTGCCAACCCACCGCAATAGCACCGGCGAATATGTTCCGAAACTGTGGATCAACATACATGAACATAAACGCTGTCACGGCCGGCCATAACTTCGCGCTATTCACGATGCTAGTCGGTAAGGCCAGTTTGAGGCGCTCCCACGTCTCCGTGAGCGAGGTACCCGCCAGTAGTGATTGCATGCAGAAGAAATACGTGTTGAAGATCGGTGTGAAGCAGACTTGGTTAATGGCTACTTTTGTGATGATTGAGACGAAGCGAGGTTTGGAGCGGAAGTTGAAGTTGTTGTGGAGGTACATGAACCTACATATAAGTTACAAAAATTTAACAAGTTAGAAAATAATGAATTTCCCAATGGATTAGGAAAAGGGGCCCTATAAATAACATACCATTTATACCCCGGAACAGCAGCAAGAGCGCCAACCGTCATATGCCTAACCGTCCTCAGCGGGTCATACCGAGCCATTACACCCTCCTTCTCTACCTCATCACCCATCCCTCTCTCTTGCTCCCCATTCTTCTTATTTACTTTCTTCTCCATATCTTTGTCCTTGTCTTTGGCTTTCCCCCCACCATCCCCTACAAACAGCTGCGCACTTAGATCCCCACATAGATAAATAAACAATGTACACCACAACTGCGTCCAGTACGGTCTGCGACTTTGTATGCGACTGTAGAAATCGGCAGCACGTCCGATGGCACTAGACTGGATGATTTGTCGAAAGGATTTGGAAGTCGTGGCCGAGGATGATGGCGATGAAGGTGATGGCTGCGTCTGTGGCTGTGGCTGTGGTGGTTGTTTTCCTACCTCTGCCGCCTCTGCTGCTGCTGTAGCAGTGGCGGGCATAACGGACCGGGATGCACCCGGGGGGGGTTAAAAGGAGTCCGAGGCTGAAGTTGAATTTTGCTCCCCCTCTAGGGCTTGTTGTTTTATGTCTCGCGACAGAGAGGG